TCCACAGAGACACGTGTCACAAATCCAAGCCACTCTCTGCAACGATAATATCTCGACCTATATCATCAGCCGTCACTTCTCGAGATATGTTCGAGAAATGACATAACCCATGTGCACCCCATCCTAAGAGCACGATCTCTAGGACGAGTGCACGGGGGCCAGTGACTATGCCAATATTGATATACCCCGAGGAGTGTATCCCGAGGACTCGATCTATACCCCACCTCATTTCTCTTCTTCGGTCCTCGAGGTCATCTAAGTCCTCGAGATATTGTAGTCCTCGAGATACCTCGAGGACACATTTACATTCCCTCAATGTCCTCGAGAATAGTCCTCGAGACATACACCACCAACATACCTCCTAAGATCTGGGTACCTAACTAACAAACCTAAACACCCAAGGATTCTACATCAGCCCTAACACCACTTGTCAAACAATTCCATTACAAGTAGGACATTCTTTATAATAGAAATTCCCTTGGATAAAAACATCCAACCAACACAATCCTACTAGGAGTACACTACATACTTCTATAAAAGCAGAACCTTGGGCCATTATTCAGGTACGTTTGACATTGTTCTTCAGCACATAGCCTCACGCATATATTTCCCTTTCTGACTTAAGCATCGGAGGGGCGACGAGAACACACCTCGTTGCCTTTGTTTCAGGTATCGGAAGATCACGTTCGTGCTCCTCACCAGTCATCAAGCTCGAAAAATCAGCAGGTACGATTTTTGGTAGCATCACATTTTAAATTTTTTTAATCAAAAATCTAATTTTAATCCCACCAAACAAATATGAGTCTAAGAACCGATTAATTTAAAATATCACTTAAACCCAAAACCAGCCGCGTTGCCCTTCTTATTCAGCTCCCCGCCTTCCCTCTAAAACCACCGGTTGCAGGGTTTAGGGTTTAAGACGGAAATTCTAAGAAATTTTCACCAGAAAAAATGTCAGGAGCCTCAATTTCGGCGCAGCTACAGGCTTTGAAATCTCTCTCTAACGTGTACGCCGATTCTGAACCTCTCAAAAAGCCCTTCACGCGCCCCTCTCTCATACTCGACTCCAAAGCGGCTGCCGATATCGACCTCGACACTGTCTTCAACATAGCCCTTTCTGGTATTAGCATCTCAAATTCGCAATTGAAAAAAAAAAAAGTATTTTGTGCTTTTTTGTGGTTTCTTATGTTTATTTTTTTACTAGGTTTGGAAGTTTTGATAGAAAAGGAAGAGAGGTTTAGGAACTACAGGAATGATTTGTTTAGTTACAAAAGTAAGGAGCTGGACAGGGAGTTGGTGGGGATTGAGGACAACGACGGAATAAACGCATCTATTAGATCCTATTTACGGTTACTATCAGGGTATTTGGAATTGAGTTCTGCTGTGAACACCCTTGAGTATTTAATCCGTAGATACAAGTGTGTAGTTTTTTCCTGTCATGATAAATTTCACATACTTCTTTTTTCTTTTTCTGTTTTTCGTTGCTTGCTTGTTAAGGATTATTATAATTTTATGACAACAAGCATTATTATAATTTTATGATAGTCAATAGTTGGCTTTTGGTGGTTGTAGGGTTCATGTATGCAATGCCGAGGAGCTAATTTTATGTGCATTGCCATATCACGAGACTCACGTGTTTGTGCAAATAGTGCAATTAATTAACACAGGGTAAGTCTCTTCTTCTATGAGTTTATTAACATTCCAAATTCGCTGTGCCTGGTTATTGGAAAATTTGGTTCATACTTTGTTGGAAATGTTTCTTTCCGTTCTTGATTTTCTTTAGTTGATATTATCACGATCATGTCTCTGAACTAAATTTTGTATCCCTGAGCATATAATTTAATTCTATTTGATTTATGTTGGCGGTGCAGAAACAGTAGATGGAAATTTCTCAACGGAGTTAAAACATCAGGTGCTCCACTGCCCAGGAATGTCATTGTACAACAGTGTCTCCGAGATATGGGGGTTTTGGAGGCTATATGTAATTATGTAAGAGTTTGGTCTTGGAAGGCATATAATTTGTTTTCTTCTGTTTTCCTTTTTCCTATCATGATTGCCTGATGGTTTTAAATTTTTAAGGCTGCACCTGAAAAGAAGATTTACCCATCAAAAGTTGTGACTGGGTTCTGCACAGCAGTTGTTTTTGAGGTTCTACAACTAGTGACCATTGATAGTGATGTTGTGAAGAGGATTCTTCCATAAGTAAATTCCGGGCTTCAACCTGGTGCCAAAGGATCGAACCCGAAGGTCAAGTTTAAATGTGTAATTTTTGTGTTTGGTATTTTCTGACCATAATCTGGCAGGTTTTATTTCTTGTGCTTCTAGTTGATTGATTGGATGATATCATATTTATTTTCTCTATAGGCTGGTGCTCTAATAATTGTTACTTTACTAGCGCAAAAGGTGACTCTGGCCCCGAATGTTGTGAAAAGCTTAATGCGTTCAATTGCTGAAATAGTCAGGGCAGATGCAAATGAATCAGCTAGCTTGCAATGTGTTCGCATGTCATTTATGGCCCTAATCAACTTGATTCAGGTATTGCTTTACGTTTTCACTTTGGCACCATTTTTTTCCTTCCATGAGTCCTGACTTGGACCATGATGCCTTATTAGTTTCTTGCTACTAGCTTCTGTTTTAGTATGGACGTATAGATTGGGTGGCATGATTGTTGATATCATATTGTGCTCTTGCGTTTCTTTGAACTTGATTTCTAGCTTCAATCCATGTTAATAATCCCAAGGAAGACTGTGGATGTCCTAAGTGAAATCAGGTGAGCCTTGCAATCCCCATATGAACTTTTATATCGCAGTCTTTTGCTGTCAGCTCTCTTTATGCGGTATTCTCTATTTTATCAAAGTATCTTCCATTTCTTGTTTATGTTTTGAAGGGATATTACGGGGATCCTTTTCGGACTGACCAAGGATTACAATATTGATAAATTCATGGCTGTGTTTCTGGACTCCCTTCTTGAGCACAGGTTGGAAATGCCATTTTTAATTATGTATATTATTCTCTCTCTGTGTTTTCCTGCTGCACTAAATGTTTTTTTTTTTTGTTTTGTTTTGATTTTTTTGTTTTGTTTTTTGCAGTTTTACTGAGGATCTCTGCTATTCTACTCTATTATCAATATTAGAGACTATACCTTTGAAAGGCCATGTTAACCATGTAGTCTATAAGCTGCTTAATACGTGCATGAGTATATCTGATGTAGAATAATCCAGTAAACATAATAAGAAGAGAAGAGAGAAGAGAG